ATACTATTCGTTTCAGCCCTAGTTAGTGTATATTTATACAAAAAATATTTAAAAAAATATTTAAACGACTGTCATAATTATAAAAATAATTATGAGCAGTTGTTTTATACTGGTATAACACTTTTGGTACATATAGTTTAACACTTTTGGCCACTTTTAAGGACAGGTTTACATAAAGCTTTTTGGTAGATTTTTAATTATACTAATATTGGGGGCTGAGCAATCTACATTTTTGCATTTTCTTAAAATGGCCGTAACTCGAAAAATTGAAGTTGGAATTAGCTCAAACTTGCTACACAGCGAAGGACATCAATATGCATAAAAAAACATAATAAAAATTGGGGGTAATTTCAGAGCCATTTTTTGGAAAAAACCATGGGCTATAGTTTTGGGTATTTTTCAGAATTTTGGCATTTTCTTAAAATGGCTGTAACTTGAAAAATTGAAGCCGGAATCAGCTCAAACTTGCTACACAGCATAAGGACATCAATATGTATCAGAAAATGTAATAAAAATTTGGAGTGATTTTGGAGCCATTTTTGGAAACCATAGAAACTATTCCAGACGAGGTAGATGTGTTTCTTGTGCCTGTGTAAAGGCTAAGAGGAGCTGTTACAACTGTAAACCTCTTAAAGATGGTCACTGTATAAACTCCTTATCAACACCTGATATGCCCAAGAAGATTCCAGCTGTTGACAATTCAATTCATACATTGCAGGATGACGATACCTCTAGCAATCCTTTATCATCTACTTTATCATCTATTAACAATGAAGATGACTCTTTTGTTCCTTCTGTTGACTCTACTTTCTATTGTGATGAAGCATCAGGGTCATCTGATGGTTTTTCTACGGGTGAGTCATCTTGTTTATTTTCAAATAATTCTACTACATCACATCTTTCTTCACTTCCTAATTTTACTCCTATGTCTGATGCTACTTTCTTGTGGGGTAAAGCTGATAGTGCTGCATTTGTTAATGATATTACTTCTTGTTATAATGAGGTAGTCCACTGGAAGAGAAATATTTTGAAGTTCCTTATGGTAATGTAGGAGATGCTTTTGTTCAAGAGTTAGCACGTTTATTTCAATCTTATGCAGACTCTTCTTACTTAGAATCTATTGCTCTTTATGCTGCTATGGCTATGTCTGCTCTTTTATTACAAAAGCCTATTGGTAAAGTTTCTAAAAAAGATTTTTCAAATCATTTAGAACGTCATTTATTACTCTGGAAAGATGGTGATGTGGAGTCATTACTTCAAGAAGGCCGTGCTATTCAGTCTCGTTTAAAATTCAACAATCATTCTAATTCTTCTAATAGCATTGCTAAGAGATTTTCAGATCTTATGCTCATTGGGGACGTTAAGGGAGCAATTCGTTTATTATCTAATAGGGAAAATGGTACTGTTCTTTCTCTTGATACTATTATCAATGATCGTTCAGTAAAAGAAGTATTATACGACAAACATCCGATTGGTCAACCAATTAAGCCCTCTGCTCTTGTGTCTGGTCCCTCTCATTCAATCTCTCATCCAATTCTTTTCGACCAGTTAACTCCTGACCTTATAAGGGCAACGGCTCTTAGTTCATCAGGATCATCTGGTCCTTCTGGTTTGGATGCAGCTTGTTGGAAGCATTTATGTACCTCTTTTAAATCATCAATTAATCTTTGTCGAGCTTTATCTTCACTTGCCAAAAGGATATGTACTGCCTATGTTGATCCTCAAGGTTTGTATCCTTTTCTTGCTGGTCGTTTAATAGCTATTGATAAGTTACCTGGTGTTAGGCCTATTGGTATTGGTGAAGTTGTCAGAAGGATTATTGGTAAGGCTGTTTTATCTGTAGTTGGTAGAGATATACTTGAAGTGACTGGTTCTGATCAATTATGTGCTGGTCAGCCTGGAGGCTGTGAAGCTGCAGTTCATGCAGTTCGTTCAATTTTTGATTCAATGCAATGTGAAGCTGTTCTTTTAGTAGATGCAAGTAATGCTTTTAATGCTTTGAATAGAAATGTTGCTCTACTCAATATTCTTAATACTTGTCCTT